TATCAATACCTACATCATACATTTAAGTAAATACAGTAACGCAAAAAACAGATATTGATAAGAAAGTGTACAAAAGAAATCTGTAAGTACGCCTGGCAACATTACCAAAGTCTTGTTTATATGTTGCTAGGATACGGGTAGGTATGCGGGCCGCTGCATTTGCTTCTTCCTAAAATTCTGCTGGTGGTGTACTCTACCGGCAATTCTGAAATTTAAAACTGCCGGCCTATTCCAGTAGCGGTCTGTGGCGATAGCTATTTTGTCTGTGGTATGCATAAATATTTTAAAAAAAAGTCATAATTGTAGAACTTGTGCTTCATGAAAAGGGCAAATCCACGACACTCACAATCAAAATGTAGAATTACTAGCATGATTTTGTAAGACATAAATATGGGGTTTAACCTTAAGTGAAGGTCAGTTTTTTAAGGTGTAATATTCCCCTGAATATGGATTTAATTAAATAAACAGTCAATTAGTTTTTTAAAATGCACTTTAATTCTTATATACGCCACCACTATTCATGTCTTACAAAAACATGAATTGTAGGCAACCTACAGTACATGTGAAAGGAGATAGTGTGAGTCAACGGTGGCGAAGCGAAGAGGGTCAGTTATTGTTCAGCATTAGAAGACAGAATATCTAACTCTGGATTTGAATGTTTTTCATCACTCAAAGCCATTAACAGGTTGCGGTGGCGCAAGTCTTTTGTCTAATTAGCGACCATTATTCAGAGGGCGATGACGAAGGTGGTATATTAAGTGTCTGTAAGAACTGAGAGACCCGCAAGGTATAGTAAGCCATTTTATTTTTTGTTCAGTGTCGACCATATTTAAACAGAAAACAATTCATTATTAAATTATTAACCTGTGGTGAGGCCCGGGGCTACAAGCTCTATGCAGGCCCTCTTTCTTAAAAAAAAAGATATGGTTTTTGTTTGATCCTAAAAAAAAAATTTCGCCAGTTCCAGTTGAGGCCCCTCGATCTCGTGAGGGCCGGGGCTACAGCCCCTGTAGCCCCCCCAATCTGGCCCTGGTCCTATACATTTTTATGTCTCAAAAGATTAATAATAATAATAATAATTATTATTATTATTCAACATTTTCTCGTTTTTATGTTCTGCACACAATGTACATCAAAATCTAAATTGATCTATTAGTCCATTGAAAAGTTACATTTGGGGTTGCAAAAGTCAGAGCACGCAATTTTATTTTTTGGATGTCTAGAAGGGGTTAGTGTAAAGTTAAATCCATGTTTGTGGGGTCGCAACCCTTGTGCATCGGCTGCCATATTGTAAAAAGGGCTGCGAATGGTGTTTATACTACTACATACTATATCGGGCAAACTATTCGTCACACAGAAAATTTGTAAATACATTTTTTGTGGCAAATTAAATTCTCTACAAATTTGGTTCTGTAACTTTTAGTCGTAGAATAAAAAATAACAAAATTATTAACGATAATAAATAAAAATTTGGGAACGAATTTTCTTTTGGTCGTTATAACTTTTTTCATTTTACAAAAAAATTACATGAGAGCATTTTGATAGAGCTGTAAAACCCTAATAAATAAATAAAATTTGAAAAAGTTTGCTATGGAAATTATCCCTTGAAAACCCCTCTATCAAAATGCTCTGATGTAATTTTTTTGTAAAATAACCAGAAAAAAGTTATAACGACCAAAAGAAAATTTGTTCCTAAATTTTTATCTATTTTCGTTAATAACCTTGTTATTTTTGGTTTTACGACTAAAAGTTACAGAACCAAATTTAGAGAGAATTTAATTTCCAACAAAAAATGTTTTTACAAATTTTCTGTGCGACGAATAGTTTGCCTGATATAGTAAGTAGTAGTATAAAAACCATTCGCAGCCCTTTTTACAAGATGGCGGCCGATGCACAAGGGTTGCGACCCCACAAACATGGATTTAACTTTACACTAACCCCCTCTTGAGATCTACAAAATAAAATTGCGTGCTCTGACTTTTGCATGCTAAGCCCAAAAAAATGTAACATTTCAATGGACTATATGGTAATGCGACTATTCTGATAAGCAAAATTTTTTCAAGTAAAAAAAATAAAAAAGTTTTTCTTCTGAACGGTTATCCATTTATATACTGTGTACAAAGTATAAATATTAGATATAGTTTAAAAATTACTTAGAGCCTGGATCAGATGAAGTAAAAGATGATTTAGTTAAGAGAATAAAATAGTGTATGTATGTAACTAGTCCAATCATGTTACAAAAAAGAAAAACATAAATGCAAAGTATATGCCTATATTATATTTAGAAAGAGTAAACTTCTGAATAGTACTTACCTGAATAAGGTGGTTGCTCTTCAGTAAGTTGATCAATTACGTAATTTAACATTGTTGTACTGAATGTGTCATCCCTCTTTAAACCTAAAGCTTTGTGGAACCAATCAACTGCTTCTTCGTAATGACCCATAAGAACGTGTACGTAAGCAATAGCTGAGTAAGTACCAGCAGATTGCGGACTTAACAGCAGAGCCTAATAAAAAATAATAATAATTTTCAAAAAGGCAGCAAAAAACTAAGAAACCTATAAATTAAATATACAATGAATTAAAAAGTAATTGCATACTTGAAAATAAAAAAATATATATATAATTTCAGAAGGTCTTAGAAAAGATTAGAAAGAAATGGTTAAGGGAATGTGTAGAACTGAAGTGCAGTGAATCTCAAATAATCTGCAAATATTAGAAATGAGAAAATGATCTTTTATTATCGTCAGACAATCAAGTTATATGGACATAAACATGTTCAAGAATATATAGCGAAATGAACCAATGAAAAACATATTAAAAAATGCAAGCAAAAAGACTTCCCTTCAGCAAGAAAACAGTTCTTTTATAGGGCGTTTTCTAAGTCTATGCTATAACTTCTGGAGTCTGGGTAATTTTAGAGTAAAAAGTCTTAATAAATCAACAACCTAAAATTGCTGGTTTTTCCATAAAGAAAATTACATTTATTCTCTGAAAAAATTTGCCTTAGATCAATGAATGTTGGACTAATTAATTAAAGAAAAAATCATTGTTATATAAATCAAACTGTCAGTAGCGGAGGTAATGGAACTCATTATCACAGAATTTCAGTGCCCATGAATATTTTGAAAATTGGTTAAATACATTTAATAATATTTAGGAAAAATGGTATTGTTTACTTTGGAGTTATAATAATTTTTTTAATTTAAAATAAAGCTTATCACACAGCTGAATAAATTAAAACTAATTCTAAAACTACCGGTTCTCCAAAAAAATATATATACATCAAATATAAATATAAATATAAGTATAAATTTAAATACACATTCATTAAAGTTAGCTTACTAATTTTAATTTTCCTGAAAGTTATTCTTTCACTATTACAGGGATAACTAACAATTTCTTCCTCAATTTTTTTTTCAACTTATGATGGTTTAAATCTGAATTGAGAATCACAATTCTTATAAATCCATTTTTTTTTAATTGGAAATGGAATACTTTGTTATTTTAGATACATTTAACTGTGAAAAAATTTTAAATTAAAAAAACGACTTGAAAATCGTTAATTTTTGAAATAAATGGTAAATATGCTTTCTTTGAAAATCACTGGCATTAAAATGTGTTTGTAAAATTTCTAAAATACTTAGTTAAAATTCTGGGATTCTTAATGATTGTGAACCAGTGATGAATTCCTAAATTAATTCACGAATTTTTACTTTTAATTAAGAATAATTACTCAAGTTACATCCATTTAGATCAAACAATTTTGGATATAGAAAAATCTCATTAATCCGTCACGATTAAAAACCTAAGTGTGCCGGAGTACTGGAAAATTCGAATTAATGGAATATGTATAATGTAAATAGTATTAAATTAAAAAACATTACCTTTAATTGTTTATTAACAAAGAGATTTGTACATATATATACATATTACATTTGTGTGAGTATATATATGTACAATGTATATTGTAATGTTTTCATGATTCTGTAAAATAATCTTCCAACTAACCTATAACTTTCTTCAAGGATAGTAGAAAACGCGGAAAAAATAACGCCGAATTACTGGACGTGCCGGTGTAATGAAGTGCCGGATTATAGATATTCTACTGTATTTCAATACTTATCTCGTAATGTAGTGGTTTTCGACTCTTGGTTCATTAAGGTTTCATCTAAAATGTTCTAAGAAACATCCTGAAGTTAATATATGGATTTAAAAAATATCTGTAATCTAGAGCAGAGCTGAGTTGATTGAGACTAGGATTTGATTTGGGATTGATATAAAATTGAAAAAGGAGAAACAAAAAAAATTTGAAGCGAAAAAATATTAATTAATTAAAAAAACTAAATTGATTCAGTCATGTGGTACGAATGCAGAAAAATGAGATAAAAAGTGGTGAGGCATCTAAGAAAATTGAAATGTTAAAATAGATGACTTTTTCAAAGATAACAGGTTTGACTGTATGTAAGCACATTAGTTGTTGTATACCTGTTGAACTAAACCATAGGGTTACGTCATTTTAGACACGAGTCACTTAAACCATATACAGGGTGTCTGCAACGATTCTTATGATTTCTTACAAAGGGGGGTGTCAAAGTCCATCTTACGTAATGTTTTTTAAATCTTTTGAATCTAAAAATTTTGATTAAATCTTTGTGAATTAATTTTATTACATGACAAACTAGCAATATTTAATCATACAAATAATAGAAGTTGAGTTGTGAAAATAATATAGAATTAAATCGTTTTATAAGTATACACTACACAACACCTAACAAAATACGTGCAATACAATGCAAAATCTTCGATTTGTCCAAAAATTACGTAAGACAGGGGAGAGGGGAGGGGTAAAAAATCAGTCAAAAAAAGGTTTATGTAATTTATGGATGTCCCCTTACTTTAGTACAATTTACATTCTCTAAAAAGTTATTAGTCTCCAAAAAATAATTTTTGTTTTTTTATTTTAGATTAACTCTTGTTTTTAAATAGTTCAATGAAATTTGTATGGGGGAATTTTGGAGTAACTGAATATGACTATAGAGGTTGCTACGAACATTTTAAACAGTCTCTTGATCTTAGCATATTTTTTTGTTGGTAAATTTTGAGAAAATAAAGATATTTTTTGAAGTTTTAACTTTATTTACTTCAAAAATTGTGTACTAGTTGTATGTCACTAAAATACACCATTTCAAAGAAAAATTATGTTTTGCAGGCATCAGTAGTGGATAGCTGACAGTTTGGGACTATCCTAGTACAATTAAGTTCTGCTGAAGTAAGCAAAACCAGTATCTACTAAGTTCTAGGCAATTTAATGCAGAATTGCAATATTAAATTCTAGATGTTGATTTTTGAATGGGGTAAGTTGCTTTAAATCGTAAAATATATTTAATTTAGGTGCAAATTTAGCAAAAAAAGAAAAAGAGAAATATAATACTCAGGTTACCCCTAAATATCCAACTCTGTGTATCTGTTAATTTGAAAATCATTTTTTTTAGCAACATGTAACAAATATACCTTTTTCAAAGTAAATAAAGTGACATTCAAAAAAACTTTCACGTTTTCCAAAATTTGTAAAAGAAAAAACAGGAGTTCGCGGAAAGCTCTATATTTTATGTAAAAAAGATCATATTCATATTCAGCTATCCAACAAACCCCAAATTTCATTAAAATATCTTTAAAAGTGACAGAGAAAAATTAAGATAAAAAAAATTTCATTGCAGGTTATTAACTTTTTAAGGGGAGGAAAAAAAGTGTTATTTGATTTAAATAAGTTTATTCTCATCCAAGGGATTTATCTTTGAAACATGGTCCATTCAGTTCCAGATACTTTGTATAAAACAAAAAAAAATTAATGTAAAAAAAAACTTTGTGGTTTTAAGGCTTTCACGGCCCGTACTGATATTTAAAGTATGATGATTGATTATTCGTGGTCTATGTACCTGGTCGCTGCCAGTTACAGACTTATAAGGTACTTCCTTAGTTTTATCCAGGAACATGACCTTGTTACTCTCGGGCTAGGCTCTGTGGAAGTAGACCCGATATCAGAACCACTAGCTTTGCCCTTATATTAATTTCGATTCGTGTTATTGATTCTATAACCGTTAAGGATGGAACTGCTTCTCAGACAATCTGTCTTCTTAGACAGTCCATAGTGACCTCTGTAAGTCACATCCATTGCCTACAAGCAGGTATACAGACCACTGCGTAATAACCCAAAAAACCATGGTACTATAAATAAAAAAGTACCTGATTGTGGAAGTCCAATGCTTCATCATATTTTTTTAGCTTTCTACAAGTATGGCCCAAATTGTTGAGTAATGGGCTCCACCTCTGTGGAATTATTCCTTTCTTAATTCTTTTAACTCTTTCTAAAGCATTTAGGAAGTGGGTTTCTGCATTTTCAAAACTAGAATATGTGATGATGTGTTAGAAAATACTGATAGTGTAGTTGTTACGATCTCAATTGGAACCACATAAAAACATTTAACTCATAAATTCTATGGAATCCAGAAAAATTTAGCCCTGTCTCGTCTAGATATACTATATTCTGAGCTATATTACCATATAATTAGCATACGATTGTCAAGTTTTTTATGTTTAAAATCACATTGTAATAAAGCATATCGTAAAATATCTAAAAAATTATAATTATAATCAGGATAATCGCTTAATTTATTTCGAATCATGTAGGAACTTTATTTTCTTTATAGGTACATATTATAAATTGTGCGACGCAGTACATCTGATAAAATAGTTAATTTTCTTTAATTTTGTATTTTTCCGTTTCCTCTTTGTACCGTGATCAATCGTTCTTTAATTACGCGGTAAATTGTCATTTTTGATATCTTAGTTAATTCGTTAATCCGTTTCCTTTTTTTTACTTTTTTATCACATTGTTCACTATTTTAAATTTTCAAACATTCATATATTTAATATAATACGTTGACTTTGTACGTGTAAATCTTTGTTTTTAAACTCTGAGTTTGTTTCGATGCTTTCGACAAAAACTGGTTCTACTGTTTGGGGATTTCGTTATCCTCCGCTTAAAAGAGTCTCCAGAGAGCCACGCTAAATTACTAGATAATTACATATAACATTTATTTTAATAACTACTACCCTTTATTGGTTACGATATGAACAAGTAATAATATCAATTAATAAATAATAATACGTATACGTACCAACAACATACCCCGCCAAGCAATACTCTGCACTGCACTGTCAAAGTGGCAAAGCTAAGTGAACCCGTGTACAATACCAAAAAATTATTTACGACCTAGTGGACCAATACAGGTTTGCTTTGATGACCAGCGCGCCGCCATCAATTCTACATCAGGCGGATTAGTTTACCAATACCGGACTCGCCGAATTGCTATTCTAGTATAAATTACGAGACACATCATGGTCAAAGCATAGGAAGAAATTTCAGGAGTAGTGCATATGGTCCTGTGCTATAAGATATACAGGTTCCAATTGACATCGTAACAACTACACAATTATACGATTTTATATAACAAATTTTTTTCCAAACAAAAATTACAATTTTCTCTAGAATTTAATAAAAACATGTGCAATTAAAAATTATCATTTTCATCTGTTGTTACAAAATATACTATATCAAACTAATGTGTAAAATTTATTGCACAAAAAAAATTTAATTTAACATATCGTAACAGTGCTTTCCACTTTTGATGTCGCGCTAGGGTATCTGCGTTATTATTCAATATAGAATAGTGCAGTTTTGACGAATGTTGACCATTTTTTTTTGTGAAATTTTTAGGTCAAAACAAATTAAGTATTATTTTTTTTGGTTTTTCAGTTATAGCCAAAAAATTAAAATTTTAATATTCTCGATGACCTCGGTAGTGGCTACAACATAATTTTTTTCTGAGTGGGTATCTCAAAAATCTGTTATGCCGCAAACTGCTACTTTATATAGTCAATAATAATCATGATAACTGAGCATGGCATCAAAAATGGGACACATTATACATACGACTTATAGGATAGTAGAACAATATTTAATTATATTGAGTGAGGAGAAATGTAATTAAAAATTATTGAAAATCTTACAAAAACTTACTCCAAATTTTGAAAACATATTACTCCTTTTTCATGCATAATAAAAGGATCTTCAGGGGCTATACTCTGAGCCTGTTGGAAGAATTTGTCTGCTAGTCTTACATTATTTGTCAAACCACATTCAAGTCCTATGTACAACAATGGCAGGTGACATCTACAAAAAATTGAAAATACAATTTTTTAAGCTGTACATATTTGTATCAAGAATTAATAAATTTGAAATTGATCTATGCTGGTGACTATCCTGGTGAGTGATCTTAGCTATTTACTAGATATTGGGGTTGTAATTCAATGCCATGCGGTGCATATACAGCCTGTGTACTTGTTGTTTTCCACAATTAGTTAAAAATCTTGGTACACATGTCTGCAAGTGACCCATTGTAACCGTTGCAAGCGACAAGAAACAATGTGCAACGCGGGATATGGCTCCCGGAAGAGGACCACGGCGAATTGGTGCTAAGGACCAGATGCTTATACCTGCGAACGAATCCACACCACGACAACTCTTCAGCGAACACTTGCCCCGACAACATATCTTTTTCTCTACATTTAGTTTTCAATAAAAATACTTTTATTTACCGTTGAGAGAGAGTTTTATTTTGCTGCACACTGAAAGTAACCCTCAATCTTATTCTGGCTAGTGTGGCATTGATCACAAGTTTATAGCACCTAATTTAAAGCCGTTTGACTGCCAGCAGCGCTTTTTTTTCTTTTTAGTCAATCAATGAATATGCTTCACCTATTCTCAATGTCACGAGCCGCCACTGTTGGTAACAGTGGTAGCACTGTACTTTGAAACGAAGTTTGAGTGGGATCTGTCAAGTAATTTGTTTACAGCTTGTTTTGTTAGTCCATCTGAAGCGTATTCTACGATTTTCCTATGGATAATGGATAATGTTATTGAAGAGAGTTTCCCTAAATTTTTGTGTTATCCAACGGAATTTCTTGTGCTAAATCGTTGAAAATGTTGGGAAAGACGTATGTTAATTTTATCAAAAACTCAAGCATACGAATGGTACAAACCATTTAAATATGGTCGAGAAGCGGTTGATGATTTGGCATGTTCTGGTTATCCTTCAACATCTTCAACTGAAGAAAACATCAATAAAGTGAAGGAAAAGCTGCTTGCAAACCGTCATTATAGTTTGAGGGGGCTGGCGTATGAACTAAACGTTATCTCAAGAATTAGTTCATGCCATTTTAGTTCATGTTTTGGATGTGAAACGCTTTACAGCATGGTTGGATCCAAAATAGCTGAATTTTCTTCAGAAAGAGATCGCAAACATGTTGCTCAAGATATGCTGGGACGAGCTAATTCGAACTCTACATTCGTGTTGCTGACTTTTCCTTTTTCCCAAACTCAAATTGCCACTTCCTGGAACACGTTTCAAGTCCATAGAAGCCATAAAACAAAAATCGCTGAAGGAATCGAGTTAAGTTCACATTTGCATTTAAAAAGTGCTTTAATGAGATGTTTGTTGGAAAAAGTGTATTGCATCAAATGGAGAATGATTAATTGACGATTTCCAGATACTTTTTTGACAGAATGCTTCTAATCACAGATAGATATTTGTACTTACCCCTTCATAAGTTGTGATGCTTTAAAATATGCCGCCATTGCTTGGTCATGCTCATTCTCTATCGCAAAAGAGTGACCATATGCAAGCCAAGCAGGGCCGAATAGTCGATCCAGACAAGTGGCTTTGGCTAAATACCTTCTGGCACAATCACTTTTCCCTAAAAAAATATTACTAGTATATGTGCAATGTGTCTGATATGCATTAAAATAAAAATTCTCACCTATTATATAATAGTAACAACCGACAGCAAACCAAGAAATAGCCAAATTTGGATACAAGTCCACTAAATTATGTGCCAGAGAGAATAATTCTAGAAAAGAAAAAGTATAATTAAATAATTATTGTACTTATGGTTAAAGTTAAATAGGTATTTATTATTAGTTCTTGCACTTTTACATTTCTTTAGAACTAATGTAAAGACACTATTAGGAATTTTGACTAACCTATCTATTTATTCTATAGTGTCTTATTTTGTGGTCTAGGTGTCAGTGTCAACAATATTCAGTATTAATGAGTAGTTGGGCAAGTGTAAATATACAATACAGTGGATTTAATCAAAGTGAAAGCCAACAATGCAGATATCTCATTTTATTGACGAATTTTAAGCTACAACTGTTCGTGTTTTGGAATCATAGAATGCATTTGTGTATTTGGCTTTACAGTTATTATCATATTTTTGTATATCTTTTTTTGCAGACAATAAAACGAAATGATGAAATATAGTATATTACGTAATAAGTGTTGTAAAAAGCATTTTAGGCACGAATGGAAAAGTTACGCACGACGCCGCGTAGCGGCGAGTGCGTAATTCTATGAGTGTGTAATTGCATTACACCACGTATTACGTACTATACTTTACCTACGACCACTACTTTAAATACTTAAAAACACACCGTCTGCGATCAATGCAAGATTCCTATTACGTCGTACGGTAAAAAAATCGCACAGCTTGGTAAAAAAATCGTACAGTTTTCCTAGCAACCGCCTAGCAACGGTCAATACAAACAGTATTGTATTGACCGTTGCTAGGCGGTTGCTAGGAAAAATGTGCGATTTTTTTACCGTACGTAATAGGAATCTTACATTGATCGCAGACGGTGTGTTTTTAAGTATTTACAGTAGTGGTCGTAGGTAAAATGTTTTAAGCAAATCATAAAAAATTTAAAAAAAAGGGAGCAACTTTATTCTTTAATTGATTTCTCGAAAAATAGAATACTTCAAAAAGAAAAAAAAACAAAAATAAATAGTTAAAAATAAGCTATGTATGTATTAAGAAAAGTTAATTAAGGTTAAACAAATGAAAATTTGATGGAAAGGATAAAAATACCTGTCTAACAAAGTGATTTTCCAAGAAAAATCACACTGTATATTTTTGCAGACAATAGTATAGGATTAAGTGATGATACTGCCAGAAACCGCTACTTTACAGGCTATCTGCCTCAGCTAGCACTGAATTATATCACCAATATTATTATACAGGGTGTCCTGTTTATTTTGATTTACTCTTTTAAATGTTAGTTTACAGCAAACTGAAACTTAAAATAAATTTTAATTTTTTTCAGTTAATAAAATGTTTTACAATTTAACTAAGAAATTAAAAATATAGTCTTAAATGCAAATAAATAAAAGTAGATAAATGTCTTCAGCTCATTAATGGTAAGGTCCTCTTTCAATTTAATATTTTGTTAATGTACTAGTGCCGCTTTATGTGAGCAAAAAAAATGCAACTTCATTTTTCTCGAAAATGGTACATGCTACCGAATTTCGACAAGTATACCTTTTTTTTTTGTAGTATCCTTTAGAGTTTACAGAACTGTTTAGAAATGTAATAAATTTTGACTTTTAACATATTTTTTCTTCGATTGTACCCCTCCAATTACCTGTATCGGCGACACTGCTTTTCAGAAAGAAACCGTTTGCACATTATTCTTAACACACAGTTGATGTTTACTCGTGTACAAATTTTAACATTTTTATCTAGTCGAATTAAAGATAATTAAGGAAAACCATTTGGAAAGTAATAACTTCAACACACTGTATCTCGAAAACAGGGCATCTAAGAAAAAAACTTTACATGAATTACCCCTAATATTTTCCCATGAGGAACTTGCACACAAGTTTTTTTGAAATATGAACGGGACACCCTGTATACAGTTAGGATTATTCGTCGGCCGAACACATCAGACATACGTGGGCTTCAGACTTGTTAGCCCTCATCAGTGTGCCATGGACGATATACATCGATGTATTAAAAACATTCGATGTATAGTATCGATGCATCAAATTCAACGGATGTATTTTTAAGCTTTGATATATTTGATGTATTGATCTTTTATATTCGATATATCCAATAAGTAAACCTAATTTAACTTTATTTATTTTGTTTTTATTTAAATTTTAGATTTTTTAAAGTTTCCAGTTTTCTAGTTATTTTTTTGTAACTAGTTTTTCTCTAGGACTGGATTGGCAACAATAGCTGACAAATTGATTGTGAGATACTGATGATACCTTTTTTTTAAATGATAAACAAAATAGACTATTAATATATTCATAATCAACAATGAAATCGATTTGAAGGACAAAAGATTAAATAAAATTTTATTTTTGCAAAGCATAGAAAAAAATATTGGGATTTTTGAAAAGCTATAATTTTAATAAATAAATCTATGCGCATGAAGTCCTTTTTATATTTAATTCGGGATTGTTTTCATTTTGTCCGTTGATAATAAAGGTTTTGGACTTAACGCATCTTTCATGTTTCTTGCTTTTATTTTCAGGCACATTTTCGTTCATTTCTATGAATTTAAAACTATAATCACATTAAACTATAAAAACAATCAATGTATTGAAAATATTATTGTATTTTTCGATATATGTATATCATTCTAACATCTATGTCACCATATTACATCGAAAAAAAATCGATGTATTTTTTTATGTCCATACCTACATATACAGGGTGTTCCTAAATAAGTGTCGCAACGGAAATCTGTAAATTCCTCTTAAAAAAGAAACATATTTTTCCTCTTCCATTTTTCTCTCCGAGCTTTCGTTTTCGAGATACACGGTGTCAAAACTTTAATTTTTTTTTTTTCGCCAATATCTTAGAAATCGTTTGAACTACAGGACTGAGCTTTTGTACACACATTACCACTATTAATAGCTACTTTTTCGCACCCTTCTCGAATTCATTGGATGTGCCAGTGGTGGAGATTTTAAGGTATCGTAAGGGTTTTTCCCCCCCTAAATTTTACGCCACTGGAAAAATTGACTTTTGACAGCGCGTATTCTAAAGCGCCAATGAATTTTACACAATAAGAGTTCTCTTGGTTCATTGCTCTAAAGTCAACCATTTTCAAGAAAAATGACTTTTTATGAACAAAAGCAAACATTTTGCTAACGTTTCGAAAATCTTTTGTAATTCAAAAAATAGGTAGTAATAATTAACAATTTTAACGAAATTTAACAACAGATAGGATTTTAACTTTTTTTTATCAATTTGGCGAGTAAAATTTACAGAAACTGTTGAAAATTACATCAGTTGGCTTGAATGTACGCATTACATCTTCTAATCATGTTTCTTTCTGTCGCTGCGATTTCACCTCTATCGGTCAACTTTTCGATAGTATTGACATGGATTTCATAAACGATGCATTTCGTTCTCCGGATGTTCTGTTCAGTTACTTGCACTTGCAAAATGTTCAAAATGCAAAATGCAAAAAATTTTCGAAACGTTAACAAAATGTTTGCTTTTGTTCATAAAGTCATATTTCTTGAAAACGGTTGGCTTTAGAGCAATGAACCAAGAGAACTCTTATTGTCTAAAATTCATTGGTGCTTTAGAATTTGCTGTCAAATGTCAATTTTTCCAGTGGCATAAAATTTAGGGGGGGGGGAAAACCCTTACGATACCTTAAAATCTCCACCACTGGCACGTCCAATGAATTGGAGAAGGGTGCGAAGAAGTAGCTATTAATAGTGGTAATGTGTGTACAAAAGCTCAGTCCTGTAGTTCAAACGATTCCTAAGATATTGGCGAAAAACTAAAAAAAAATTAAAGTTTTGACACCGTGTATCTCAAAAACGAAAGCTCGGAGAGAAAAATGGAAGAGGAAAAATATGTGTCTTTTTTTCAAGAGGAATTTACAGTTTTCCGTTGCGACACTTATTTAGGAACACCTTGTATTTGATGTATATTTTAAATATTACGTCCTTATCAACTAACTTAATCGTACATACGAAAAAGGGCTAGTTCCATCAAAGTGGGATAAATGTGTTACTTGATAAAATATTCAATGTGCCTCTACAGTGTATAAAAATAAATTTAGATACGGAGCCACGTGACCATTTTTGTTCGGAACAGTAATTTTATTTTATTCATATTGGCAATTAAATTGTGGTCAAATTAAAAATTATTATTAAGATCAAGATTATATTTAAGACACAATATTCAAATACAATATTTCACCAGCTGGTAATTGGTGTATTTTCTCACCAGACTTAATCAACCAATCAGCGATCGCATTATCTTGAGAGTAGACACAACGGTTCGCCATTGTTCATTGTTTATTGTAAACGAATAATTAATATTGGTGACGCTAAGCTTTAGGGGTTTTCAGTTGATAGTACCAGCCGTGTAATGTTGGTTGCCTAAGCTTGGTGATCATGTGACTTCTAATCTTTTACGAAGGCTCTGTTTAAAATAATATAAGTACTTACTGTTGCTTTGCTTCAATTCAACTTGACAAGATATATGAATAGGCAAGCACGCATCATGATATGGATCCTGTTTTAGAATACTCTCTGTTAAAACACTACATTGTTGGTAATCACAGTTATAGTATAACCTTTCCGCTTCTGCTACTTGTAAATCTAAACTATTTTTCAGCTTAAATAATGTTACATTTTCGTTTGATTCCACTTGCATCTGCTGACTGTCAGTATTCTTAATCTTCTTTATTTCACTCTTCATTAAATTTTTATCATTATTTCTTGCAACGTTTGGTGTGCTGATAGAAGTTGGTGTTATAATAGTGACAGGTGTGGTTGGAAGAGATTGAATAGGTTCAGGAGTAAGATGCAATATATTTAGTAATTTATTGTTTGGTATAGATGGAGCATTTCCAAATAATATTTTACTTTCATTTGGTTTCCGAACAGTTGGTGTATGATATTTTTTTAGTTTTGACTCGTACAATGTTATCAGAATTTCTGCTTCTTCTGTTGAACACTGCTCCACAATTGGAAGGGCATTTAATAATTCTTCCTCTGAAATATTTAAAGATTTCACTATTCTGCAAAAAGGTGACGAGAAATATTTTTTCTAGTTCAATTTTTAAATTTGGTTAGGGATATGTATAGGTATAATTCTTTACCTTCTGAAGAGGTTAGCATTTGATATTTTATTAAAGAATCAAATGCTTCGAAACAGTATACATCATACTGTAGAGCTTGTTTGTAACAGTCTGAGGCTAATCCTCTATTATCCATTCCTTCAAGGACTTTTCCTTTAAGTAATAAAAATGACGAATATGCTTGCTAAAAATATACATAGATTACTAATGAAACAACACTCTATTTAAACCTTTACTGTTTACATTTTTTGGTGTATCATCAAATAATGTAGCGTCAATTCCTGAAGAACATGGTGTAGATATATTCCCTTTAGGAATAAATAAATAGTTATCCACTGAATTTATTATTTTTAAAGCTTCATTTAGCTCATTTGCTTCGAATAAGCATCTTACTGTTAAATAAGTACATAAAATATAGGTCTAAAACAAAAAAGTTATCTAGATTATGTTGTATATATTTCAAAAGTCCCTACTTTTTCTAGATTTCTGGATCGTAACAAATGAACTGCTCTGTGGTATTGTTTCAGAAGGTACATACATTGTGCCAGCCAATAAATATCTCTAGGATTTCCTGTTAAAGCAACTACTTTGTCTGCCCAAAATAATGCTGAATTATAAACATGCTGAAATGGTGGATTTATTTGATTTACTTAATCTGTAAATAAATTAATGTAACATACCAAATCTATGTAAGTTTGCACTAGTTTTCTGTACTTATCAATATTAATATTAACGGCATTAACAGTTTTCATTTTCAAACTTCTATTTAAATAAATAACTTAACCTCTCTGCTCTGTTGACATTTTTTTAAAAGTGAGATGACAGATGAACTATGAAGGATGATTAGGTTTCGAGTGTACCGGTTAGAGAACTCCTCATGTATTTTTACGAGTTCCTGTGGATAGGACTGATAGGAGTGTGATACATTGGAGTACTCCACTTTTCTTCCTCCTCCTACCTATGAAACACCAGTTAGTAGAGTCATTCCACACGACAGCCGTTCCATGGTACGCGTGCCATGGCACAGGTTGTATTATATGTTTTGTGGCACAGGTCGTGTGAAATTTGAGGGAATACGCTTATCTATATATTTTTTTATTAATTTGTTTGTCCGAATAGTGGAAATAATTGATTAATTTGATTGTTTTGTAGATTAGTAAAAATATATGGGCATTTTATTATATAGGTATGCTTCGTTATATACGTAATATACCATATTACTTTTAAAAGATCTATATAGGTAAAGGTCTTTTACATATAGATTTGGTACTGAATTAAGAATTAAGTAATTATTACAATGGTAATTGTGCTTATGCATTCACTTGATGAATTTCAAATTAAATTTAGTATATATTAAATTTATGGTACGCGATGNTGCTCTGTGGTATTGTTTCAGAAGGTACATACATTGTGCCAGCCAATAAATATCTCTAGGATTTCCTGTTAAAGCAACTACTTTGTCTGCCCAAAATAATGCTGAATTATAAACATGCTGAAATGGTGGATTTATTTGATTTACTTAATCTGTAAATAAATTAATGTAACATACCAAATCTATGTAAGTTTGCACTAGTTTTCTGTACTTATCAATATTAATATTAACGGCATTAACAGTTTTCATTTTCAAACTTCTATTTAAATAAATAACTTAACCTCTCTGCTCTGTTGACATTTTTTTAAAAGTGAGATGACAGATGAACTATGAAGGATGATTAGGTTTCGAGTGTACCGGTTAGAGAACTCCTCATGTATTTTTACGAGTTCCTGTGGATAGGACTGATAGGAGTGTGATACATTGGAGTACTCCACTTTTCTTCCTCCTCCTACCTATGAAACACCAGTAGAGTCTTTCCACACGACAGCCGTTCCATGGTACGCGTGCCATGGCACAGGTTGTATTATATGTTTTGTGGCACAGGTCGTGTGAAATTTGAGGGAATACGCTTATCTATATATTTTTTTATTAATTTGTTTGTCCGAATAGTGGAAATAATTGATTAATTTGATTGTTTTGTAGATTAGTAAAAATATATGGGCATTTTATTATATAGGTATGCTTCGTTATATACGTAATATACCATATTACTTTTAAAAGATCTATATAGGTAAAGGTCTTTTACATATAGATTTGGTACTGAATTAAGAATTAAGTAATTATTACAATGGTAATTGTGCTTATGCATTCACTTGATGAATTTCAAATTAAATTTAGTATATATTAAATTTATGGTACGCGATGACCACTTTAGAATAGCTTCTTGCTTATATAGTCCAAGAGAATTAAGCTCAAAACCTTACAGATGTGGCTGTTGCTTGACGTAGATTAAATATTAGTAAAAATCGGTCAAAAATAATATATACAATGAAAATATAACGTTGCGCCAAGAAAAATGTTGTGCTATTTGCAGAAAAAATTAATAACTGCAAAAATACTCAAAAATGACGTGTTTTTTCTAACATTTTCCAATATAACTTCTTAAATATGCAGTTTACAGAAAAAAATATTACTGATGAAATTGTTTGTTATGAAATTTGCTATAAGATAGAATTATTTTGATACCTGCGCATATCATATTTTTGTTGCTAAATAGCCAAAACAACGTAAGAAAGTGATGAAAATCGAGGTAATTTGGAAGCTTCAAACTGACAGGCAAGAAATTGTCCAATTCTACTATAAATGTAGAGTAAGTACTTTAAAGGATTACAAAACGAAATTCCAAAACCCGATCCAAATCGGTCTGATAGTTTTGGTATGAGACAATTTGTTACTAAATTTCAGCGCGAAATGTCGTTATTTTTTTACGTGAGTGCTGGGGTTAAAGTTAGGCATTTTAATTGGCGCTGATTTTTTTACACATACTTGGACCCCTTAACAATCATATAGAATCGTTATAATATCAATTTTCTTTTTTTGAATAATTTTTGGAGCGAATTTAAAAGTTCGACAAATTTTGACTTTATAAACAAATACTTTCGTGAAGCGGTTTTGCGGGTTGGAAAATATACCAAAGTACTAAAAAACAGTTCTCGGAAAGACGCTTAACTTGAAAAAAAGAACGTTCAAATCGGTCGTATAAGTTCCGAGATATTGAGTGTCAAAGTCATCAAACGTTAGCTGCGAAACTATGCATAATGTAACAACAACAAAATATGAATTTGGTAAGTTTTTTAAGAACTTTTCGTATGTGCCTTTATAAATATTATCGCACGTGTGCTTTTTATATGAAAATTCAATGAATAACGACAAGCCGCAAAACCTTGGGGAGGGGATGAATTATAGAAGTCGAAATCGCGCGTTCAAAAAAAGCGCGCGTTTCGGCGTTCAATATCTCGGCTTCTATGGCTCCGATTTTGATGATTTTTTTTTAATCGATATAGCAAAATGAGAGGAATTCAATTATCAAGATTTCATTAAAATATTATAAAGCCCTTTTCTGTCTATTACGACTACTTAAAATTTCTCACATTTCATTGTTATACTGTATATTCATGTAAAAAGATTTAGATACAAATAATAATTATTTATTTATGTTTATAACACGTGTTTATTATATTTTCATAATCATCGTATTATTAAAGTTTTTCACTTTCTTACAACATCATTGCTGTTTTCACTTATAATATCACTAATATCAGCATTTGAATACGTATCGTTTTCCATTATTTTCAAATCAGTGTTTATCTAATTGTAAGTAGGTACCACTGTCAGATTAACAGCAAATTATGACTTATGGTTGGTTAATTTGATTTTTTAAATTTGCTAGAATTTTATAGTCATCCTCGCAAGAAATTGTATCATTTTATTTATCACAAAAACCTTCAAAAACAGAAAAATAGGTATATGGAGGACCTATATAGTATACCTATATAGGTATATAGGATATGGTATATGGATAGATATGGAGTAAATTTTTACAACAGATTTTGATTAAATATACAGGGTGTCCCATTTAGAAAAACCCAGTTTTGGAGGTTCGGTCAATCAAATTTGACAATAAATATGAAATTGAAATACGTTGAAGACCATTAGACCATTAGAGATACATATAGGGAAGCTTTATAAAAGTACCCTAAAATTACGCGTAGAATCCAAACATGCAAAAATATACAGGATGTTCCATTTATAATAAGCAAATAGGTGCCGACTATCGGTATAACCGGAAGTACTACAACAATGGCATTATTTTATTTAACCTCTTTTTAAATAAAACCTCCAAAACCATCAGGTCCCAAATTTTCAAATTCAAATCCTGTAGAAGAAAATCTTGAGAGCGAAAACAGCAACTATGCTATAAAAAAGCGGAATACTTTAATAATGTGATGATACGTTTTATAAATATCAAATAATTATTTGTATCTGCATTTTTTTATATATTATATGTATACAATAAATAAATTACATATTAAATAAAAAATTCAAGATTTTAAACATTATTACGAATTATTAAAACTAATACCTATTAACAATGGACTATGTAGGTATATTATTATTTACATCGATATTATTATTTACATGAATATACAGCAACAATGAAATGTGTGAAATTTTAAGTAGTCGTAATAGGCTGATAAGGCTTTATAATATTTCAATGAAAGCTTGATAATTGAATTCCTCTCATTTTGCTATATTGACTTTAAAAAAAAATCATCAAAACTGGAGCCCTAGAAGCCGAGATATGGAACGCCGAAGAGGGCACGCTCTTTTTGAACGCGCGATTTCAATTTCTATCATTCATCCCCTCCCCCCGGTTTTGCGGCTCAAATGGTCGGCTTGGCGATATTCATTGAATTTTCATGTAAAAAGCACACGTGCGATAATATTTCTAAAGCACATACGAAAAGTTCTTAAAAAACCTACCAAATTCATATTTTGTTGTTGTTACATTATGCATAGTTTTGCAGCTAACGCTTGTTGACTTTGACACTAGATATCTCGGAACTTATACGACCGATTTGAACGTTCCTTTTTTTCAAGTTAAGCGTCTTTCCGAGAACTGTTTTTTAGTACTTTGGTATATTTTCCAACCCGCAAAACCGCTTCACGAAAGTATTTGTTTATAAAGTCAAAATTTGTCGAACTTTTAAATTCGCTCCAAAAATTATTCAAAAAAAGAAAATTGATATTCTAACGATTCTATATGATTGTTAAGGGGTCCAAGTAAGTGTAAAAAAATTAGCGCAGATTAAAATGTCTAACTTTAACCCCAGCACTCACGTAAAAAAATAACGACATTTCGCGCTGAAATTTAGTAACAAATTGTCTCATACCAATACTA